TGAAATCCATAAATCTAACATACTTTTGTGGAGTTAAGTGACATATTTTGACTGGGGACATCTGTAAACTTAAGAATTTTAAGTGACAAGCAGAAGGACCTAACTTTCTCTTTGCATGAAAGTTGTGAATTAACTTTTCCATTTTTAAAAAAAAAATGGAATAAATAAAAATTCTTAATTACATGCAGACTAAATAAATCCATTTTATAGTGTTGCTCATAAATGTGCAATAAAAAAAAAGAAAAACTTATCATAGCAATACAGTATGAAAACTACTTAAGACTTTTAGATTTTAATTAGAAACATTAGAAAGTTTTCGTTTTTTACAATCATAGCCAATTTCATTGTTTTGAAAATATAGCTCTTGTCAAAAGTTATGGAATTAGCACACTTAAAGGATGTTCAGTTAGATTTTTTTTATTTAGCAGTAAAGATAAGAATTAAAATGCAAATCATTTATTTAATAGCTGAACATTCTGGTTTCATAAAATAGGCTTGATCAAATTAATGTTATAATTTTTTTCTAAGCCATATAGAGGAAAATATGGAATAACCCAGTGTAGAAAAAAAAATTATGGAATAATCTTGTATTTCTAAAACAAATACCAGAAGAGATAAGCAAATTGGTCTATAGTTAAGAGTTCTTTCAGACCTTAATAAGTTTTCAGCATACCTAATTGAAAGGAAATCAGGCTCCAACAAAAGAACTTTCAATTGAATTAATGAAAATTATAAAACTCATTCAAGAAAGCAAACCATGATGAAAGGTGTGTCTAAAATTTGGTGCAAATATAAAAGAAATGGGAGAAATATATAAAATGAAGAATCTGCATTGGCTAAGGTGATAATGTTGGAACTTGTATCAGTTACTGTTCAAATAAAACAAAGATAACTACCTGAAAAAAAAGTAAATTAAACAGCCCAGATCTAAATCCAATTGAAAATCTATGGTGGAACTTTTAAAAAAATGGTGTATGAGAAGGCTCCAACCACCAAAAGATTTATTAACCACCATTCAGGAATGCTGGAGGCACTTTGATAAAGAATATTGCTTTAAATTTGAAATACATGCCTGAAAAAAAATTGAGGAGAAACAACTACGAATTAATTCTAATTTTTTTGCCAATGAATCCCATTTTTTTTTTTCTTCAATACTGGATTATTTCCATAGTTTCTTTTACATGACTTGGAAAAGAAAATATGCCATTAATTTAATCTATTTTTTTAGGGACATTTTATCAACCAAGAATTTCAGCTATTAAATAAAAAATATTTTGCATCTTATCTGTTATAAATAAACTAAGTGAATATTCTCTAAGTGTGCTAATTACGTTAGTTTTGCCAGGGGTTGTAAAATATTCATAATTGTGTCAGCTTTAATTAAAGGAAATAACTGAAAAGAAAAGTTTGAAAGAAAATGTTGAATTTTTAATTTGGTTTTATATTGGTCCATTCTTAACTTTATCAACAATCTTCCCAACATTACAGAATTAAATATATAATGTCATATAAAAAAGGTTAATTGTAAAATATTTCATTCAATTTTGAAAATAATTTCAATTTTGAAAATAATTTCTTAAGAAAAAAATCTCAGATGTCTGAAATCACCCCACCCTGCAAAAATCGTTCATAATCGAATCCTTCTCTATGTAACTAATTCCTTCTTAAATATGAATTTTCCAAAATCAGTTCATGGTAAGAAATGAAGTCATTCTTCAATAGAATATACAATTGGAATGCCACAATCTGCAAGTTCTGTTTTCACACGAGCATCTATTCTCTCACTTTGGGCAACAGTCAACCATTCTTTCCATGTGGCAACTTTGCCTGGAAAAGAGAAAAAATAAATGACAAGAAATAGATGGTGTCATTATTGTTTGTAGTATTGTTTCAAGGTCAAAGAATATATTTGATAATTATTTTTGAAACATAAATTTATATTGGTGCTAGATAAAAGTTGGGCATAAGAAAAAGAAATTCAATGTCTGATGAAACAGCCTGTGATTTTTCTATAAATATTTTTGTGCTAATTGTTTTCATGAGCTTTCCTTTTTACTACCTAAACTTTACAAATTTAAGCACAATACTAGATTGGCAGCTAGGTCTCATCATTTTACAGTTGAAATGACTAAATGTAACCATAAGTTCTCTGCTAATAATTTCTTGCCTTTCTCATTTGTGGAACTCTCTTTGGGCTTTTACAATGTCTGTTCTTTTGTTGTTCTCTCTCCTTAATAATGTTTTCTTTTTTCTCATATTCTTTCACACTCAGTTATCCTTTGCGTCTTAGTGTCTTTATCGCCTTGCTTGGGGTAGAATGATTTAAAAAAATACTAAAAGCCTTTCTTTTGCACCATTGTTTGGTAGGGCCGGAAATACAATAAAGTTACAATCAATAGTTATTTACTAAAGTTAGCTCCGTCTTGTATAGGACCATAAGGTGCTTAGAGGAGCTGAACAGTGACCCATCTAAGTTTTGATCAGGTTCGCTGTTGTTTAACTTTAATAATCTCATGGAAACCAATACTTTCCATGTGACTGGACCGTAAATACAATAAGTTTAATACTTCAGAAGGGAGATAACTGTATATATTATTTTTTAATACTTCAAAAGGGAGATAATTTTGTATATGGTGTTAAAGTTTTTTTTTTTTATCAGTTTACTCCAAGCAAGGCGATAAAAGCACTAAGATGCAAGTGGTTACTGGGGATGAACAATAATAGTAAAAGAAACTGAGAAAACATTAATGAAGAGAAAGGACAATAAAAAGAACAGGATTTAAAAGAAAATGAAGATCACACTTGATATTGCATTTAAATTTGTTTGACAGGAAAACTGGAAGAAAGTTCCACAGGTGAGAAGTGCAAGAGAAGAAACTATTAGAGTAGAATTTACAGTTATATTTAACAATTTCAACAGTAAAATGATAAGACATAGTTGCTTACCTAGTACTATGCTTAATTGCCAGGAAAATATTTGTACAAAAGGAAGCTATGTTGTGGTAATGGGGAAAGCAAGTGAAGCCGAAATACCAGATCAAGACAGATGATATAGCAGATTTTTCTTTAGAATTTGTCCAGAATCTCAAAGTGCATAGCAGAAGAGCAAGTTTTGAAGATATTGGTTGTGAAAATCTCTAGGTCATAAAATCTGTTCTCACGCAATTAGTACACTGCTATACCTGCTTCCTGGAAACAAAAAACAGGAGCTCATAAAGCCATGACAATCGGCTAGATAGAAAAAAATTTGCATGGCCACATGTGTAACACAGAACTCATCTGGATTGTTTATCTTGCTGAACAGAGCACATGATATGAGAGCATTTCCATTGATGAGATAGGCTATTATTTTCATCATCAGTTCCCAGATCTCAATCAAAAACAGGGTGGCAACTTGGTGTTGGGGTTTAAGCCTGGTGCTTCATTTTAGTGAGACAGACCTCTTTCCTGGATGAATCACTTCCTAAGCAATTATATATTTCAGGCCAAATATTGACTTAATCCAATTATTCTTAACAAATTGTGTAATGAAAGTTGTGTTGAATGGCTATGCCTCTAGATTCTTTTACATTAATGCTGGGATCACTAGGGCTCTATCCTTGGATTAATATAGTTTCTTAACTATCAACAACCTTCCCGATATTATCATTCCGCAACTCAGTATTTATGCTGATGACAACTATTTACTCCTGTTTTAATAATCCGATTGATCCGACAAAGTAGAACTGCTCTTGAAAATGACCTTCAATCAGTAGTTAACTGAAGCAAGAAATGGCGTGTAAATTTTAACACTCACAAAAGAAACTATTTTTTAGACAACCAATTTTTGCTTTCTATAAGCATGGCTGATGTTAACCCCCAGGAGAGCAACTCCTTGTTTCTTCTTAGTATCACATTTCCCACTGACATGAAGTGGTGAGATTATTTTGAATCAATTGCCAGGTCTACTGTTAAGAAAGTTGGTTCACTGTTTCGTGCAAGACAATATGCAAATTAATGAAATGGTACAGAAGTGTTCTTTGTTGTTATTTCAAATCTATGACAGAAAAATTGCAGCTTAAACACACATATAAACCTTTATTTTAATAGGACAAAAACTTAAAGAGAAATCTTCGGAGTGAAAAAAAAACTAGATAGATAAATGAGAAGAGACTGATATAGATAGATAGTATAAGAATAGGAGAAGAAAACTGGAAAACATTCATTTACCAACAAAAAGTATATACAAAACGCAAAATTGTCAAAATATGGAATCTAAAAAATAACATAGAAAATAAAAAAAGCAACACCTTAAGGCAATGGCCAAACGAGAAAATAGCAATTATCGTCTCTCCCAACATTAAAAACTCTTAAAAAACATGGCTAAGTTTAAAAAAAGCAAACACGAAAATCAAGTCCCTATTGCGCTACCTACAGACATATCACGATTTAAATAATATCGCGTAACAAATCTGATAAACTTTATCTCAAATAAGAAAAGTAATAATCTAAGAAAGTGTAAAAATGAATAAATTAACCACCAGGAGAGTGACTCCTTGTAACTTCTTGGCTAAATGTTTTCTGCTGACATGACGTGGAAAGATTATATTGAATTAACTGCTAAGTCTGCAGCTAGGAAAATTGGTTCACTGTATCAGTTTAGACAAATTTTCTCATCAGAATCCAACATGCACATTTATAAATCTGCCATTCATCTGTGCATTTAATATTACTGCCATATCTGGAATTGGAACTTGGTTTTCCAATTAACAATTCCAAGCCATTATCCATTACACAACCCACACATTCAAGCTTACAATCAACAACTGCTCACAGTCGTGATGGAAGCGACCCCGCGGTCTGCAAGCAGGAGACGAAGGAATAATCTTTTTTCATCCTGCGTCTTCTCGGTTTTCTCTGAGTGAGAAAGGCAAAAACACGGGGATGGTGAGATATCTCTCTATTATCGAGGGAGAAGACATGCAGTTTTCCGCCTCGACTGGACGGTGCTCTGTGACGAGGGATCTCAAGGCTGTAATGTGCTTTCGAGGTGTCGATGTTCATTGAGTCCTGCAATTCGCATCAGTTCTTACGACTGGCCGCGCTTTTCATCGACGGACAAGCTGAGTTATCCCCCGTCCAGGGTTTAGAGTTTTTTAGTTGTTGTTTTTGATATTTTTTGTGTGTGCTTTAAAGATGTGTACGAGTGACAATAAGGTCGAGAACCACTGTCTGGGAATCCGTCCCGGACAGCGTGAATCCCCATTGGCGATGAACTGTCGGCATCAACAGTTAGAAACACCTGCGACTGGAGTTGTCGCCATCTGCCAATTGCGACAGACTGGCGGCCGGCACCCACCACAATATCGAGAAAAGTCACCGCGAGGCCCGTGCGCTAGCTACTTGTTACGTTATCGAAGTTGCGCGTGCGACGACGGCCATCTCGTAAGCTTGACGTCAGCGGCTGCTGCTGCAGTGAGCGACATCGTTACCGAATCGCGTCGTATCTAACCGACCTCGATTTCCCAGTGAGAGGAAAGGAAGGAGACGTACAGAGAAGGCTGGTCATACGTTAGAGTTGGTTGTGCGATGACATCCGTCTCGCACAGGCAAAACATCCATCAAATGAGGTCGCATTGTTCCGCCATCCAGGTGTCCCCGGCGGAAAGCTAGGAGCTCGGCAGCGCATACAGCAGAGCTGGCCGTTCATGCGATGGTGCGACAATGAATCACCCGGAACGGACGTACACCCCTATGAAAAGTGGTACCCGTGACCACCACTTACCTCACCTCCTGACTGCTGAGCCTCCTGTATCCAACTTGCTACGACGCGTCTGTTGCGGCAAAATTAATGATCCTTCTGCAGGTTCACCTACAGAAACTGTGTTACAACTTCCACTTCCTCTAAACGATCGGGTTCGGTCGTCTTCTCCAGGCAAGACAGAAATAAGTACGGCATACGCGGAAAACGGTAACAACAGCAACAGGGTTGCTGACGACCGTTGCGCCACGTGCTTCCTGGTGTTGTCGCCGGCCAGATCCGAGGATTTCACCGGACCGTTCATTCGGTAGTAGTGACGAGCGGTATGTACAAAGGGCGGGGAGGTGATCGACTTTGACTCGTGCCTACTGGGAATTCCTCGTTCACGGGGTTGGTTACAGGCCCCGATCCCTATCACAGGAGGCATTTAAGAGGTTTCTCGGGCCGGTGTGAAGTCCCTGCAGATACCGCCAGTTTTTGAGCGCGTGCAGCCTCGGACATCTAAGGGCATCACAGACCTGTCATCACTCCGCCTTGTGTGTCTTTCTGCCACCCGTCCCTTTCAGAAGTGGGTGATAAAACTGACCAAGACCCGAGTGCTATGAACGCCGAATCCGCAATTGATTAAACACACACATCAGCGCACTAGTTAGCAGGTCAGAGTCTCAATCAGATGGATCGCTTCACCAACTAAAAATGTCCATGCTCCACCACACAGCGAATCGAGAAAAAGTTATCGATATGTCAATCCTACCGGTGTCTGGATTGGGTGAGTTTTCTCGTTTTGAGTCAAATTAAGCCTGATGGTGCCCTCCCGTCAATTCCTTTAAATTTCAGCTTTGCTATCATCGACCCCACACTAGTTATATAGTCATATATAAACTTTTCGCTTTCATTGCTTGCCTTCATAAAATTGGAAGGCGAAACGCATCGGCAAGAATTAAGAATTTTTTCCAATTGTCATTTTTAAACCAATTTGTCTTTATTTTCAGAATTATTTCTGGAGATTTTAACTATATTGTCGACATGGAAAATAAAAAACAAACTCATAGCAAAAAAGAAGTTAATAATACCAATATCCAGAAAGAAGCTTAGGCAAGAGTGTCTCTTTTTTAAATTTTGGATTTGATGAAACTATGGCGACAAAACATTTCCCCTAGAGATAGCCCTAGCTTAGGAGGCCCTGCGGCGTTTGACTATCAAGTGCTACATGGGTCAGATAATTAGACATAAGTTAAGCAAGATGTCTTCCCAAGCTAGGAACATGGGCGCTGAATTGCGCATTGGAAGAGACCCGTCGAGGTTCTGGTCACTACATTCGAGAGGTCAAAATCCCGGAGGGGCGTACTCTGAGGTCAACTGACGATATATGTGAGGCGTTTTGGCGGTATTTCGAGAGCCGGTTTACCAAGGAGCCTAGTCTCTGTGACAAAGAGTTTCGCAACTATTTGGCTGACTTTCCCCGGCTGTTGACGACTGAAGCGGCTAGCTGTGAGAAGGAGATCACAGAGGATGAGGTCTACACGGCACTGAAGAAGGTTGGCAGAGGCAAATCGCCGGGTCTGGATGGTTTGTCTGATGAAATGTACTTAATCCTGTAGCATATCTTTGTCCTGATTTTGATTGTCGTGTTCAACAACTGGTCCCGCCAGGGGTCCGTTCTCGACCGGATCTGCAGGGGTGTGATCACACTGTTGAAAATGGGCAAGGCTGTTGGGCGGTATTTAGATGATTACAGACCAATAACTCTGCTAAACACAGAGTTAAAGATTTGGGCCAAGATTCTTACAGAGTGCTTGCAGTCAGTTGCCGAGATTCTGTTGGGACCTGAGCAGACTTGTTCTATGAAGGACCGAACAATTCAGAGAAACCTACATCTAATCTGCACGATCCTAGAATTGGTCAGAAGTACAGGCAAAGGTCGGCGCGGCCATCGAGACGGCGCCGAAGGAGGTTGTTCGTGAAGGGCAGGGTTGAGGCGTGTGCGACTTACATCTTTCCTCTTGCTCTTTACCGCTTGTCTGTACTTCCTCTCTGTAAGGAACGTAAGAAGGCGATCAAGTGTTTGCTCTCCTCCCTCTTGTGGGGTGGGGGACGCAAGCATCACATCGACAGAGAAGTCTGTGCCCAACGTCCATGTCATCGGGGGATACTGCAATTGGCGTGTCACAAACACGCCCCGAGGCTGGCTTTTCTACACCACGCATTGACAGGGGACTCGATTTTGGCGGGGGGTAAGTGTGCGGGCAGCTTTCCCTTTCCTTACTATCACCCCTCCCATTTCGCGGGCCGAGTGCCTTTGTAAGCCCCAGAATCAATCGAGTTTCCTCCTTGAGTGTCAATCGGCCTTGAGGGTCGTTCCTCGGTCCAGTGACCTTTCTCGACCTAGGAATATTTTCTATCCTGAAATAGTGGAGGGGGTCGCGAAGGATCTGCTACACGGCTGGCTCATGTTGTCGGCGGATGAGTGATGCTGTTTTGGTTGTTTCTATCGCTGCTGGCCACGGCCTGAATGGTGATTTGGACGACGCGAATTGAGGAAATCTTGTGAGGTGACTGTTATTCTCATCAGGATCTAATTCGATTCTTCGAGCATCAGCTCAAAATGAAGATAAGAATTGATAGCGATTGGTTTTGACAGATTTTAACAAAAGGGTGACTGCAGCGAGCCTGGTTCACTTGAACGGGGCTAGACTTGATTTTCTTTCTAGGTCTCCCTAAGTAACAATAGGGTAGTTTCCTGTGGAGCCCTTCCCTGGTTAGGCTAGACCCTTTTTGCGTACCTAGTTAATGTAAGTGTTGTTCCTGGTCTGCTTCTTTGGTTATGATCCAAGTCGAGATTCCCAACCTCCCCAGTTTGTTTTTGGACCCCCTTTTTTTATCTGGACTTGGTCAGCTTTTTTCTTTCCTCATGGCCGAATTTATTTTACCCTTCCTCTCCCTTATTGAGAGAGCTTCTTGATTTTGTCTAAAGACAATACAGTCGCTTCCCTAAATTCTGTTGAGGGTTTGACGGGTCCAACTAACATCAGTTATCTTTTTATTTTGTGTATTTGTTTTGATATTTTGGGGTTCATTCCTTCCCCCCTCACTACGTATCATCAACAGATTTTATATATAGAATTTTATAATCATTAATTTTTATACCATGAGGTGTTTTTGTAGGTCCCCTGAAAATATGCGGTATTGTGGTATATGCAGGATTGAATGATTATGGATAAGTTCTTTTGGTGGATGTGCAAATTGTAATGAGTAAATGGGTCGTGAATCTGATTAGATAGTAAGTGATGACCAGCCTCAGCCCACCCACCCCTCCCATTTTTTACTTTGTGCTACAATTCTATTTTATATACAATAAATCTTGGCTACAAAACATTTTGCTTTCCTTGATAAAGTCAAAAGACGAAATGCGTCAGCAAGAACTAAGAATTTTTTCCAATTGTCATTTTTAAACCAACCTGTCTTTATTTTCAGAATTATTTCTGGGAAATTTAACTATAGCCATATGTATTAATATTTTAATCAAAACCGTCCTAGACCTTACTTCTGTTTCTGCTACTACCTATTTTTGTTAACTTAAATAAATTAATTTCATCATTTGTTTTATTTTACATGTATTTATTTTCATTTTTTGTCACACCGTGGCACTACTGCTACTGGAATCCGCATCATTCACCACACAAGCTGTAGACTTTGAAGAGGATCCCCGTGTCATTTGATTATAACAAGTGGGAAGGATTAAAGTCGCTGCATACAACAAAGCATATATAAAGCAAATCGTTGTTATATTTTTAACCAAAGTTAATTCTTTATTCAAAATGATTCTTGTTTTTTTTTGTTTTGTTTTTTGTGTAGCTCCCAAATTGTCGAACCGTCATCACTTAAGTCTGCATGATCAACGATTTTCTGAGATCAAAAATACAAAGCGGTAGAGTAGTGAATGGTCATGAACGGACAAACGCCAGCAAAGTCGAGTGAAACCGTACCACTATCATGATACCAGCAACAAAACAAGTCACAAGCTAAAGAGTGAAAAGTCAACTAGATGGTAAACACGGCAGTCTGAAGGAACTTGATCTACTGGTTGACCAATTATCATGATCTCAAATTCATGGATCAGTTTGATATTCAATGATTTGTCTGCTCAGTTTGCTTGTTGAGTTCTGAAAATATCAATTCCCCAAATCCTTCGGTCACAAAATTTGTAGTCACACACCCAGCACACTGCCTTCCTTGTGCCCTTATAACGCTTACGATTCGCCAAGGTGGAGATGTGCATGGCTCTGCCTATAACACAGAGCATTTCAGTTGAAGAGCTTAATCACCATTTTCTTCTATACATATATTAGTCCAGAGTTTAAATGCTGTATCTGTTGTGGATTCCGAGATGAAATTCGGTCTCCAAAGAATGACAAACGCAAGAATTAAAGATAAGAAATTAAATGTATTTACACAATAATACAATGGGTAATACTGTTAGTAAATCCAGGAACACCGTTAGTAGCAATAATATATATATATATATATATATATATATATATATATATATATATATATATATATATATATAGGACTTCCTTAGAGTCTATGTGCTTGTAACTTCTACAAGCGGTTACCTCACACTATTACTCTACCTCCAACTCAATCACAATCTCAGTCTCCCCTGTATACTGACTGACTCTGGGTATTTAACGGCAGCAGCCCAAGTAACACTCTAGTCGAGTCCACTTATATGAAAAAGGGGAGGACCCCATAGCAGTATCAAAGCTTTTGCTGTTTTATATATGGAATACAATTTAGGAACCATGGCAGCAATACAAAAAGCATGTGTTCATAAAAGTTAACAATTTGATTAATAAAACAAAAACGAAATCTCTTAAAGACAAGCACAACTAAAGGAAGCTATCATTGGAAGGTGACTAGAAACAACTAACATTATCAGATATAAGAAACCAAATTTCAAGAATAAGAAGAATAGTCATAGCAAAACAAAATATAAAGTTAATAGGACCAAAGATTTTCAGAATATGGTTCAAGAAAATAATATCATAAAACTCTTACCTTTTCGATAGAATGAGTAATTTGGTTTCCAAAATTCATCCATTTTTTTGTTATTGACAGTAGCATTTTTTTCTTTTTTCATTCTATCAAACGTGCACAATTCTGCAATACCTGTAGCCAATTCTGGACTGGGTGATTTACCCAAAAAATGTCCTATTTTATTCACAGTCTCCAGCAAATTCTAAACAAAAGAAAGAAACCTCATAATTCACGACAAGCTAAATTTATCAATTGGGACAGTGTATAATGAGAATTGGATTCATGCCTTTCTAAATCTCATTAGTACAAAGTAAAGATAAATACTCTCAATTGAGATTTGAACATTGGTTTTGTTTTCTGTGCTTGTAATGATTTTACCACTCCACCCACACAATCTATAAATTTATTATCTTAAAAATGCATTGTCTAACCTGATTTTGACCTGGTTTCTTGTGTTTCTATCTACCTACCTATGGTGTGCACAATGTTTCTCATACCCCTTTAATCAACTTTAATACTATTTTTTACTAGTTACCTCATACCCAATGGATATAGTGATAATAAGTCTATTGGAACAATAAATAATATTATTAATAAATTACAATAAATAAATATTAATAACAATAATTCTATTGAAACAATCAATAAAGGAAAATTATGAATAAATAATACCAAATTTGCAATACAGTTGGAATGTGTAGGAATATTATTATTATTATTTTAAATAAATAAAAAATATATAAAATAATAATAAAAATTATAAATAAAATAAAATAAAATCGAACAATAACATAATAACATTAAATTAA